AATATAAACTTGCGGGCTCATTGTGTCATAATACAAGAACTGTATTTTATGATTAATTCTTTATGTTCCCTTTGTGCTTTTGTGCTTAAATATACAAAACCTCCTCCCACTAAACACAAAACACACACACACTTATACACAAACACACATATAAACAGTATACATACAGACACATACACACAGACTCACACACATTCATACACACACACATACCTCACAATGGTTACTCCTGTTATGATGTCATTAACACAACCTCACACTGTGCTGCCTTCCACTCCTAGCACAGTTACCAGATGAACTCTCATGCTCTTTGGAGATATATACGGTGGTTTTCTGTATGGTATAATCTTCAGTGAAAGCCCTGAGCAGCTTCTAGTTTGCATTCTAGAGAACTGCAAGGAATAAGTGAACACACAGCAAATGCTTTAGGTGGAGTAAATGGAAACACTGCCTTGGCATGAGCAGGCACTAATGATTGCACTGTGTTTCAGGTTTTGGGTGATGGAGACACCCCTTTGCTGAGGGGCATCTGTGGCACCCACTGAACCAACACAATATGCTCCTTGGGCTGCTGTGAGTGGAGTGAGATGCAATCACTGCTGTAGTTGAAAATTCCAAGTATTTTGAGGGTTTTGATCTTTTTATTTAAACAAATGGGTTCTTCTGTAGGCGAGAGACCAGATGTTACACTGAGATGTAGCTGTGTAGGGCAAATGACAGTGACTGGCTTAATTATGGTGGTTTAGAGATTTTGTAGCACATTTATACATGTGAGCTTCTATTTTTATTTTGAGGATAAAAATGATTAAAACTGTGCCTTAATCAGCTTTCCATCACTATAATGAAATAGCTGAGATAATCAATTTATAAACAAAAAGGTTATTGTGGTTCACAGATCTTGGAACTTCCATTGCCTTACTTTCAAGGGGAACATGGATATGAACTTGGCTAATCTTGTGGGAGTCAAAGACTGCAGGGGAGAAGGATGTTTCCCTTGCCCTATAGAGTTGCTTTGATTTGATTCAAATGGCTTATCCAGCTCTTCATCATCTCATGAGTCAGTAGTTGCCAAAGTGTGACCATAGGTTCAAATATTGGTTTCATCTGTCCATGAAACAGTCTCTCCAGTAATTAAGGTGGTTCATGTTCCTGGCAGATCAATGAGAATCTGCACATCACAGGAACATACATAACAAACATACATGGGAGCCCTGGGAGTTGAGAAGCCCTGGTTTCCATCTACCCGACAAATATACATGGTGCTCTCATCTTCAAATTGATTTCTTTTTCCTCCTCCTTCTGGAATTTTCTCTGATCCTATGTATGTCTTCCACCCTCATCTAAAAGTGGTTTTTAACTTACAATTACTGAAATAGAAACACTCACTTTCCCTCTGAAGCTTACAGAGCCTGGAACCTGAGCATGGGGGATAAGAAGACAGTATGTTCCTTGCTTTTCTTCTCTTCTCTCTTCCACACTCCAGATTGAAAGTTGGGTAAGGACATGGACGTTCTCATTTTCTCAGAGGTTCTTCCTGTTGTGATTCACCGTTAATTCCTTACAGCAGTAGCCACAGTGTACGGCCTCTACTCCCTGCACAACAGGCAGGTGCCTGAGTTCCCTGCAGAGTGAATGACCTTAGCATTTTGACTGCTTTTCCTGCCAAACTCAGAGTCTGCCTTCTTTATCCCAAGGCTTCTTCTAGCACAGTCATAAGAAAAATTTGGAGGCTGAGATCAGGGAATGAAGCCACATGCCCAAAGAACCCTCTCCATTCTCTTGGGATGGATTCTGAGGACTATTCTATAAGCTTTTGGAAAGCCTCCAGAAAGAGTAAGCTCAATGGCCCCCAACAGTAGGCAGCTTGCACACTCCATTTCTTGATGGTGTTGGATACTCCCTCTACTTCCTCCCTTGAACTCATCTCATTACTTGTCCTCAAGTTCTTTGGTTAGGGGTCTGCCCTTAGAAGATCCTATGCTGAGACAGTTATTGAATATTACTAAAGCTAAAAGAGCTTGTCTACATTCATTGACAACATCTGCATGGTTATGATATTTATATTTTGATGGTATTTTCTAATAGTGCAAACCTAAGGTTTTGACGTTTTATGCTTTATGGTCAACTATGAACCTTAGTGAACATATTTAAGTTGCTCACTAGAAGTTACTATTACATACCACTATTTTTACTTTATAAATGAGCAAACAGTGTAAGAGAGGGAAAATGACTGATCAAAGTTCTAATGAAGATCTGGATAGAAAGCTCAAGGCTGTAGCTTAAGTTTTCCTGCCTGGCCCATGGTCAGGCAAATCTCTCTCACCTGCCAGTCCCACAGCCACTCAGACCCGACCAAGTAAACACAGGGACTTATATTGCTTACAAACTGTATGGCCGTGGCAGGCTTCTTGCTAACTGTTCTTACAGCTTAAATTAATCCATTTCTATAAATCTATACCTTGCCACGTGGCTCATGGCTTACCGGCATCTTCACATGCTGTTTCTCATCGTGGCGGCTGGCAGTGTCTCTCACTCAGCCTTCCATTTCCCAGCTTTATTCTCCTCCTTGTCCCGCCTATACTTCCTGCCTGGCCACTGGCCAATCAGTGATTTATTTATTGACTAATCAGCAACACATTTGCCATACAGACCATCCCACAGCACAAGGCTCTTGTTACTGTGTAACTGTACGTCATCCTATCCTACAGTTAGGGCATGTGCCCTTCCACATCAAATTTATGGAAGACAATTTTTTCTAATTTAATTAGACTTTTACCTGCTGCAAAACAGCAATATATGTTTCCTATCTTTCCAATGGCATGCACATGGATGCAAATGAACATTTTAAAAAAATTTAATTTTTTTTATTATACAGTATCTCATTATACAGCATTGGCTGTCCTGGAATTCAGGGTGTAGATCAGGCTGGTCTCAGAATCACAGAAATCCTCCTGCCTCTGCCTCCCAAGTGCTGGGATTGAAGGTGTGTGCTACCATGCCTGGCCATAGATGAGCAATTTAATTGTCTAAATGACTTTTATAGTTCATCCCTACATATAATTATGAGTGTATACTTTCTGAAGATTGCTCCTTAATTGGGAAATGGGACATTCTGCTACATAGTTGTGTGACAATTCTTTTAATCTTGTTCCCAAAGCAACCTTCTGGAGAGATGGGGATGGGGGTGGATGGGGTGGGAGCTGGAGAGAAAAATGAATTATGTTTAGTGAAGAAGCAGATCTCGGGTGATTCACATTGAATGCCTCTGCCCGACCCACACACCTCAATTTGACAGCACACCTCTGTGCTCATAAAGAAAAAAGAGACAGTTTAGTTTATTAGGGAGCCAAATATGAGTGATCATGGTCTGGGGACACAGATTCAAATACTGTGTTCCACTGTGGAACTGGTTCCATTGTTATGAGGTAACTCCTTCAGAGAACACCTGGGCTCTTAAAGTCAATAGAAAGTCTTTATTCACAGGCCAAGGGGCTACACAGGGAACTTATATAGCCAAGAGTCTTACCAATATTAGCTTTTTGTGCACAAAAACATATCCGTGTAGACACACTTCAATAGCAAGAAAAATTAGCAACAAGCAGGGCTACAGAAGCCAAAAAGCAAGGTTGGAACATTTAGGGACTTTCCCAGAACTATGCACTGTGATGGATTGGATATTTGGTTTTGATTTGGCAGGTGTTGGCTGTATAAGTGCTGAGTTCTTAGGTCAGAATGGTGCCTTGGTGCCTCTAACATGGCATCAACTGTGCTAAGGTCTAGAGGCCTGTCGTTTTATTAGCTACAGATCGAGAAAGTAAAAAAAAGGCATTCATCAGATGCATTCATGGGGACCTCAATTAGGTGGTCTACAGCAAATCCAGGAAATCTGCTATGGGTTTAAGATTCTGTCTGATAACATTCTTAGCTTTAGGATTGGTAGAAGTCAGGGCTTTGCTAGTAATGCATCTTACATATTCTGATAGTCACAAGGATCTTAGTTCAGACACAGAAGTGGGCAATGGCTTTCATAGGGATTAAAATTAGCTCAGGATAATTTGGCTGTGGTCTGCAATACTTTAATTCTCCATGAGCACTGAGTCCAGTCAATTGACCATGTAAATCTTTAACACAGGGCAAACAGTTTTTAGTGTGTGCTTCTGGGAACTTCAATTAGTAGGGAAATCTCTCCTCAATAAATACTTCATCTTTTAATAATACAGAGCATTTCTCTTATGCAAAAGACTAATTCACCATGTATTCAGCTCTTCATGTTGAAAATTTAAGTTAATACAACAATGAGATTCTCAGTCCTTTCCTAAAGGAAACAGACACACAGCCAGGGCAGACATGCAACCCACTTGCACTACTTACGTGCCAAATGCACATGCAACACCAGGAACTATCCTCTCATCTTAAATAAGTATTGAACATTGTTACCAAGGCCTGTAAGTTTTTGTGAAGCTGATTTAGGATTGCTTCAGAAACCCTGCAGAGAATATCATCACAATGGACAAGTTTCTAAAATGGAGGCAAGTTTTCTACCTCAACCTCTAATGTACCTGATTCCTCAGTTCTGCCCTTGAGATTTTGTCAGGGAGTCTGCACAGGAGGAAGGAATACTCAGGTGTCAATCCCTAGGTCACACAGATGTTGTCCAACACTTGTTGTTCTCTTAGTTCTTGTTAAAACCTTCTCTCTGTGTTTGTTGTTGTTTTGAGGAATCAAGAATGTAGTAATAAGACTTCGAGTCCGTTCATTTAGAGAAAGGCTAGTTTAAAATAGGCTCCTTTTGGAAAGCATGAAGGATAAGGGAACATTTAAATGGAAAACCTAACATCTCCAACCTCTTCTCCCAATCTGGAAGCAGTAAACATTTTCAAAAATAGGACCCAACTTGACACATTCAGTTGTTTAGAAGAAAGAGAACTGACTTGAGCTGAACTCATGCTGGCTACTTAAAAGAAAGTTGGAGATTAAAAATGTTTTTTCCCAACCAACAGGATACAAGAGATGGAGGAGAGGATCTCTGGCGTAGAGGATACAATAGAGGAAATGGATTTGTCAGTCAAAGAAAATACCAATGCCAAAAAAATTATAACACAAAATGTCCAAGAAATCTGGGACACCATGAAAAGACCAAACCTACAAATAATAGGGATAGAAGAAGGAGAAGAATACCAACTCAAAGGCACAGAAAATATATTCAACAAGATCATAGGAGAAACCTTTCCCAACTTAAAGAAGGAAATGCCTATGAAGATACAGGAAGCCTATAGAACACCAAATAGAGTAGACCCCTCCCAAAAGTACCCTCGACACATACTAATTAAACAACTAAGCGTACAGAATAAAGAAAGAATATTAAGGGCAGCAAAGGAAAAAGGCCAAGTGACTTATAAAGGCAAAACCATCAGAATAACACCCGATTTCTCCATGGAGACTTTGAAAGCCAGAAGGACCTGGACAGATGTAATGCAGATACTAAGAGACCATGGATGCCAGCCTAGACTAATATACCCAGCAAAACTCTCAATCATCATAGATGGAGTGACCAAGACATTCCAAGACAAAACCAGATTTAAACAATACTTATCCACAAACCCAGCCCTACAGAAAGCACTAGAAGGAAAATTCCAACCTAAGGAAGTCAGATACACCCACAAAAACACAGGCAATAGATAACACCACAGCAGTAAACTCCAAAGAAGAGAAGTACACACACATTACCACCAAAAAATAACAGGAATGAACAATCACTGGTCATTAATATCCCTTAATATCAATGGACTTAATTCACCTATAAAAAGACACAGGCTAACAGAATGGATACAAAAACAGGTCCCATCTTTCTGCTGCATACAAGAAATACACCTCTAATTCAAAGATAGACACTACCTAAGAATAAAAGGCTGGGAAAAGTCTTTCCAATCAAATGGTCTTAAGAAGCAAGCAGGTGTGGCCATCCTAATATCCAGCAAAATAGACTTCAAACTAAAATCAATCAAAAGAGATCAAGAAGGGCATTACATACTTGTCACAGGAAAGATCCACCAAGATGAAGTTTCAATTCTGAACATTTATGCCCCAAACACAAGGGCACCCACATATGTAAAAGAAACATTTCTAAAGCTTAAATCACACATAAAACCCCATACATTAATAGTGGGAGACATCAACACCCCACTTTCACCACTGGACAGATCTGCCGAATCGAAACTTAACAGAGAAATAAAGGACTTAACTGATGTTATGACTCAAATGGAGTTAATCGATATCTACAGAACATTCCATCTTAACAAAAAAGAATATACCTTCTCAGCACCCCATGGAACCTTCTCTAAAATCAACCACATACTTGGTCACAAAGCAAATCTCAACAGTTACAAAACAATTGGAATAACCTCCTGTGTTCTATCAGACCACTATGGTTTAAAGTTAGATTTCAACAACAACAAAAACTACAGAAAGCCTACAATCTCATGGAAACTGAATAATGCTCAACTGAATCACCAATGGGTTAGGGAAGAAATAAAGAAAGAAATTAAAGACTTCCTAGAGATCAATGAAAATGAATATACCACATACCCAAACTTATGGGACACTATGAAAACAGTGATAAGAGGGAAATTCATAGCACTAAATGCCCACATAAAGAAGTTGGAGAAATCTCACACTAGTGACTTAATAGCACACCTGAAAGCTCTAGAACAAGAAGAAGCAAAGTCAACAAGGAAGAATAAATAGATGCCAGGAAATAATCAAATTGAGAGCTGAAATCAATAAAATAGAAACAAAGAGAACAATATAAAGAATTAATGAAACAAAGAGTTGGTTCTTTGAGAAAACTGACAAGATAGACAAGCCCTTATCCAAACTAACCAAAAGGCAGAGAGAGAGCATCCAAATTAACAAAATCAGAAATGAAAAGGGAGACATAACAACTGACACTGAGGAAATCCAAAAAATCATCAGGTCATGCTTCAAAAACCTCTACTCCACAAAACTGGAAAATCTAAAAGAAATGGATAATTTTCTGGATAGGTACCACATACCTAAGTTAAATCAAGACCAGATAAACTATTTAAATAGTCCAATAACCCCTAAGGAAATAGAATCAGTCATTAAAAGTCTCCCAAGCAAAAAAAAGCCCAGGACCCGATGGTTTCAGCGCAGAATTCTACCAGATCTTCAAAGAAGAGTTAATACCAATACTCTCTAAATTGTTCCACACAATAGAAACAGAAGGAACATTACCAAACTCCTTGTATGAGGCTACAATTACCCTGATTCCTAAGCCAAACAAAGATGCAACAAAGAAAGAGAACTACAGACCGATCTCCCTCATGAACATTGATGCAAAAATACTCAATAAAATACTGGCAAACAGACTCCAAGAACACATCAAAACAATTATCCACCATGATCAAGTAGGCTTCATTCCAGGGATTCAAGGGTGGTTCAACATACGAAAGTCCATCGATAATACACCATATAAACAAACTGAAAAAAACACCACATGATCATCTCACTAGATGCTGAAAAGGCATTTGACAAAATTCAACACCCCTTCATGATAAAGGTCTTGGAGCAATCAGGAATACAGGGAACATACCTAAACCTAATAAAGGCAATTTACAGCAAGCCAACAGCCAGCATCAAATTAAATGGAGAGAAACTCAAAACAATTCCACTAAAATCAGGAATGAGGCAAGGCTGTCCACTCTCCCCATACTTATTCAATATAGTACTTGAAGTTCTAGCCAGAGCAATAAGACAACTTAAGGAGATCAAGGGGACACAAATTGGAAAGGAAGAAGTCAAGCTTTTGCTATTTGCAAATGACATGATAGTATATATGAGTGACCCCAAAAATTCAACCAAGGATCTCATACAGCTTATAAACATCTTCAGCAACATAGCAGGATACAAGATTAACTCAAAAAAATCAGTAGCCCTCCTATATACAATTGACAAACAGGCTGAAAAGAAAATCAGAGATACATCACCCTTTACAATAGCCACAAATGATATAAAATACCTTGGGGTAACTCTAACTAAGCAAGTGAAGGACCTATATGACAAGAACTTTAAGTCCCTGAAAAAAGAAATTGAAGAAGATGTCAGAAAATGGAAAGATCTTCTATGCTCATGGATAGACAGGATTAACATAGTAAAAATGGCAATCTTACCAAAAGCAATCTACAGATTCAATGCAATTCCCATCAAAATACCAACACAATTCTTCACAGACCTGGAAAGAACAATAGTCAACTTCATATGGGGGGAAAAAAAGCAGGATAGCCAAAAGAATCCTGTACAATAAAACAACCTCTGGATCCATCATGATCCCTGACCTCAAGCTCTACTATAGAGCTACAGTAATAAAAACAGCTTGGTACTGGCATAAAAACTGACCTGTGGATCAATGGAATCAAATTGAAGACCCTGACATTAATCCGCACACCTATGAACATATAATTTTTGACAAAGAAGCCAAAACTGTACAATGGAAAAAACAAAGCATCTTCAACAAATGGTGCTGGCAAAACTGGATGTCAACATGTAGAAGGCTGAAAATAGATCCATATCTGTCACCATGCACAAAACTTAAGTCCAAGTGCATCAAAGATCTCAACATAAATCCAATTACTCTGAACCTAATAGAAGAGAAAGTAGGAAGTTGTCTTGAACACATTGGCATAGGAGAGCACTTCCTAAATATAACACTAGTAGCATAGATACTGAGAGAAACATCAATCAATAGGACCTTTTGAAACTGAGAAGCTTTTGTAGAGCAAAGGACATGGTCAACAAGACAAAGCTACAGCCTACAGAATGGGAAAAGTTCTTCACCAATCCCACATCTGACAGAGGGCTGATATCTAGAATATATAAAGAACTCAAGAAATTAGACATCAAAATGCCCAACAGTCCAATTAAGAAATGGGTATAGAGCTAAACAGAGAATTCTCAACAGAGGAAGCTCAAATGGCTGAATGACATTTAAGGAATTGCTCAACATCCCTAATCATCAGGGAAATGCAAATCAAAATGACTCTGAGATACCACCTTACACCTGTTAGAATGGCTAAGATCAAAAACACTGAAGATACCTTATGGTGGAGAGGATGTGGAGCAAGGGGAACTCTCCTCCACTGTTGGTGGGAATGCAAGCTTGTACAGCCACCTTGGAAATCAATATGGCTCTTTCTTAGAAAATTGAGAATCAATTTCCCCCAAGACCCAGCTATACCACTCTTGGGCATATTCCCAAGGAATGCTCAATCATACCACAAGGGCACATGTTCAGCTCTGTTCATAGCAGCATTATTTGTAATAGCCAGAACCTGGAAACAACCTAGATGCCCTTCAACTGAAGAATGGATAAATAAAATGTGGTACATATACACAATGGAGCAGAGAAAAACAATGACATCATGAGGTTTGCAGGCAAATGGATGGATCTAGAAAAAAATCATCCTGAGTGAGGTAACCCAGACTCAGAAAGACAAACATGATATGTACTCACTCATAGGTGGATACTAGATGTAAAACAAAGGATGACTAAACTGCTACTCACACCTCCAGGGAGGCTACCTAGAAAACAGGACCTTAAGAAAGACACAGGGTTTGCCCAATGGCAGAGAAATGAATGAGATCTACATGAGCAAACTGGACGTGAATGGGGGTAATGAAGGGCAAGCGTTCGGAGAAAGAGAGCTTAGGGGATCCCAGATGGATCAAGAACAGAGAGGGAGAACAAGGAAAAAGAAAACATGATAAATGAAGACCCCCATGGGAATAGGAAGAAGCAAAGTGCTAGAGACGTCCCCAAAAATCCACAAAGATACCTCCACAATAGACTACTGGCAATGGTCGAGAGAAAGCCCGAATTGACCTACTCTGGTGATCGGATGACCAAACACCCTAACTGTTATGGTAGAACTCTCATCCAATGACTGATGGAAGCTGATGCAGAGATCCATGGCCAGGCCCCAGGTGGAGCTCCGGGAGTCCAATCAGTGAGAAAGAGGAGGGATTATATGAGCAAGAATTGTTGAGACCATGATTGGAAAAAGCACAGGGACAAATAGCCAAACTAGTGGAAACACATGAACTATGAACCAATAGCTGAGGAGCCCCCAACTGGATCAGGCCCTCTGGGTAAGTTAGACAGTTGTTTAGTTTGAACTGTTTGGAAGGCCCCCAGGCAGTGGGACCGGGACCTGTACTTAGTGCGTGAGCTGGCTTTTTGGAGCCTGGGGCCTATGCAGGGACACTTTGCTCAGCCTGGGTGAAGGGAGGAGGGGACTGGACCTGCCTCGAATCTACCAGGCTGAGCTGAATCCACAGGGGAGTCCTTGCCCTGGAGGAGATGGGAATGGGGGGTGAGCTGGTGGGGAGAGCAGGGGAGGCGGGAGGAGGGAGGACAGAGGAATCCGTGGCTGATATGTAAAATTAAATTAAATTATAAAATAAAAATAAAATAATAAGAAAAATGTTTTTTCCCAAAGAATAAAGATTTTGCATTCCTACCCCAAATTAACTAAAAAGTTCGTAAAAAGTACCTGTTGTTTTTTTAAAAATCCTTTTATGGATAAGATCATTTTTATTTAAATTAATGGAGATTTACATGAAACTTCAATCTTGTAGGCCAGCTGAAGTTTGGTCACTGAACACTACTACTGCAATTCCATTCATCCCAGATTCATCAGGCAAAATCACTCTCACCTCAGATGGAGGAATGGGTAGCCCATTCATGAGCCAACTATGAGTGATTATGGCCCAGGTTGCCCTTAAATAATATTTAATAATGTTTGGTCAGCTTTGATAGTTACAGAATAAAAGGAAGTCATGATTCAAGAACTTTCTCTGGTTCATAGATAGGGCTGTCAGATAGGTGGGTGACAGAAAAGAGGGGAAATGCCCGCTGTAGTTTTCAGATGCTGATTAATGGCATTCTTAGTGTTTGTGTGGATGTTAACCTGGTAAGTTAATTTATCCAACAGCATTACCACTGAAAATCACATTAGGACATCAGGCCCACTACAGAAGACAGGAGTAGCTATTAAGAGGACTAAAGATAGCATAAGATAATTAGGCTCTGTGCCAGCATCATTCCAACTCTTCATAATTAGGAAGTTCTTTTCAGTCAACCAGTCATGAAGAATCTTTAGCACAGGCATGGCTCTTTTTCAGTTACACTAACTGAGAAGCCAGGGACTGCAGTGTTTTTGCTCACTTGACATTCTATCACGACATCCAATTTCATTTCTAATACTACTTGTTAAATTTTGCTTTTGTAAAAATTCTACTTTTGCATTTGTGAAAGACAGGCATTTTTATATAATAAAGGAATTTTAAATTTCATCTTCTGGCAGGTAGGAAGTCATGAAACAAAAGAATTAGCACTTATTTGCAGTGTAAAAGCAAAATGTCTCCAAGGACGACTTCTGGGAAAACATATTTCAATCAAACTGACTGCTCAGCCAAGGAAGAAGAGAGTGTTCATCATTTACAGTGTTCTGTATTTCTAAGAGGAGCCTCTGAAGACAGTCTTCATCATTTACAGTGTTCTGTATTTCTAAGAGGAGTCTCTGAAGACAAGGAAGAAGAGAGTGTTCATCATTTACAGTGTTCTGTATTTCTAAGAGGAGCCTCTGAAGACAGTCTTCATCATTTACAGTGTTCTGTATTTCTAAGAGGAGCCTCTGAAGACAAGGAGGAAGAGGGTGTCCATCATTTACAGTGCTCTGTATTTCTAAGAGGAGCCTCTGAAGACAAGGAAGCTGTCGTCTGTATGACCCACTTGCATGATAATGATGACATTGCTTTTCTGTAAATGATGCTAAGCTTCCTTCTCTCATCACAGATGGAGAGTTCTGTGTTTTCGGAGAGATGATCAGAACATCCTTGGTTGAAGCACTGATATGAATTTCTGTGTCTCTATTGACACTGACTAGTTCTGTGATAGTAGACGGTGACTTAAGTTTTTCTATCTCTGTTAACTCATTATGTAAAATTTGCTCTGATCCTCATGATGCATCACGTAGCAAATACCTTGTACTTGTTGTCCATGTGACTTTTGAAACATGACAAAGCTAATGCTTCCACAATCTACAAGTGTGGATCCCCTTTAGTATTTTTCCAATGAAGACTTAGAATTCTGTATTCAAGTCAGACATGAGAAATACTGGTAATAATTTACCAGACAGCGAGTGCTTTTGGCCTCCTATTGACTTACTCCACAAGAAAAAGAAGCACATGGTCTTAGTGATCTTAACTCTAAAATCTGGACATTAGCCCTCTCTGTTCCTCAAACCGCTCTGCTTCTTCTTGTCGTATACACACACATGATTTTGTGCATCTTGCATATCTAGGTGCCATGAATGAGAGAAGACATGGCATTTGTCTTCCCGAGACTGACTTTGCTGTTTGAATGAGATGTCCGCAAGTTCTCAGGCATCTGATTATTGGTGGTTCAGTTGGTGACACTATATGGGTAAGTTAGGAGCTCTGGCTTTGCTGGAAGAAGTATGTGACTGGGACCGGCTTTGAGATTTACGATGTGAACTGTCAGGCTGCTGCTCCAGTGGCCATGCTTCCCCACCACATGGTGATGGACACTCCCCTCTGGGATTGTAAGCCCATGCAAATCCTTCCCTCTATAAGTTGTCTTGGTTGTGTTTTATCAGAGCAATAGAAAAGTAACTAGCACACTGACTTAATTTATTTAATGATTATCTGCAGCTGCATCCATCTTCAGGCAAACAACATAACTTCATTCATTTTTCTCCAAAATTTCTTTCATAAATGCACCTCTGCACACATGTGTGTGTATGTGCTTGTGTGTGTGTGTGTGTGTATGCATACACATATTTCTTGCATTTTCTTTATGCATTTCTGTTTACAGACACCTAGTTCAGTTCCAGCTTAGTTACTGTGAATAGTACTACAATAATGTTTATGTACAAATATCTCTGAGATCCGTTGACTTGGAGTCCTTCAGGTAAATACCCATGTATAGCTGGGTCACATGGTAGATCTATTTTAGATTTGTAAGGAACAACCATGTTGCTAATGTTTTCCTGCCTGGCCCACAGTCAGGACAAATCTCTGTCACCCGCCAGTCCCACAGCCATTCAGACCCAACCAAATAAACACAGAGACTTATATTGGTTACAAACTGTATGGCCGTGGCAGGCTTCTTGCTAACTGTTCTTACAGCTTAAATTAATCCATTTCTATTAATCTATACCTTGCCAGGTGGCTTGTGGCTTACCGGTACTTTACATCTTCCTTATCCTGATGGCGGCTGGCAGTGTCTCCCTCACCCAGTTTCCTGTTCTCTCAATTCTCCTCTCTGTTAGTCCCGCCTATACTTCCTGCCTGGCCACTGCCAATCAGTGATTTATTCATTGACCAATCAGCAACACATTTGACATACAGACCATCCCACAGCACAACCATGCTACTTTCTGTGATAGCTGGACTAGTTCCCATTCCCATCAGCAAAGCATAAGAGTTCCTGATCACCCACATTCTTTCCAGTATTTGTTATTATTTTTCTTAATGAATACCATTCTGACAGGGGCAAGATGAAATCTCAATGTACATTTAATTCACATTTCTCTAAAGGCTAATGACATTAGACTTGTTTCATGTGTTTATTTGCCATTTGTATTTTTTTTTCAAGAACTGTCTGTTCACTTTTATGAGTCCATTTATTGATTGGGCTGTTTGGTTCCTTTAATTGTTTTATTTCTTTGTAAAATATAGCTATTAATCTTCTGCATATCTAGAAAAGATTTTTCTTCAATTTTGTACCCTGTCTTTTCACTCAGTTAACTTCTTCCTTTGCTTTGAAGATGAGTTTTAATTTCATGAGGTTCTATTTGTCAGAGGGGAAAATGTTAATATTGGCATTATTTCCTGAGCAACGGGGTCCTGCTGCGTGAGCCCCTGCCTGTGCCTTCACTGTGAAGTGCTTTCCCCACTTTTCCCTCTAAGACAATTTGATTGTCTGTTAAGCTCTTCAACCCATCTGGAGTTGTTTTTCCTGCAGAATTCATTCCTCTCTCTATGGACATTTGGTTTTCCCAGCACTATTTGTTGAAGAAAATATCTTTTCTCCTGTGTATTTTGGCACTTTGTCATAACTCAGGTGGCTATACCTTTATGAGTTTATATGTGGTTGGTTCCTCCATTTTGTTTTACTAATCTACTGGACTGTTTTTCTAGTAACAAGTTACATGTGTTACTATGGTTCTGTGTTATAACTTGGAATCAGGCATGGTGATGTCTCTATTAACTGACACTAACGGCCTTTTGAAAAGCTATATGGAAACTTATCACTGTAGAAGCTTCCTAAAACATATACATAAATTAAAGGATTTTAAATGGAACTACCATATAATGGGGGAGACAATGCCCCAACTAGATATTACTTACTACCAAATAAAATCTCCCATACACACAAAGTTCATCTCAGAGGCTCAGACTGGCTCTAATCTACATCTGCTGCTGTTCTTGGTGGTCATCCCATGGTCATGGCATCTCCAATATGCTGGAGTTTCTAAAGACAACTCCATCACTTATGGCCTTCTGGCTCTGAGGCTGCACCTTCACCAATGGCATCCAATGGTACCAAGCTTCAGCTGCTCTCCTTGGCCCCTTCATGCCTTCCAAATCAATACTGTGTGAGAGACTCTTAACACATTACCAAGTTCATCTGCCAGCATGAGATGTGGCCTTGGCTGGTTCTGGACCACAACTTCTGTGTGCTGACCCTGAGGAAACACTTCCTTGGTGATGCTGTTCTCTTCTTAATCACACCTAATTTCTCAGCCATAGCTGACAAATGACAATTGTCCAAGTAAAGCAAAAGTCATAGATTTGGGATGGAAACTTGTGTGTGTGGCAGGTAATAAGGGCTAGAAGGAGTCAGAGAAGATGGTATAATAATCAGAGTAAACATTATTATACATGTTTGAAATTGTCAAAGATGACTCAATAAAATCTTAAAATGTTGTATATTTAGTATACTTTATCATTTATGTATGTCATTTTTTAAAGTTTATAGATTATAAGGAGATATTATATGAAATATACTATAAAATAAATAAAATTGCATGACAAAAGTTACTTATAGAGAAAGAAAGAAAACTGGAAACTTCATTTGTTATAGCTGAACAAAGAAAGAGCACAAATCATATAAAGAAAAGTGAAGTGGTCAGCTGAAATTGGGTTTAAAGTTTGATTACTTAGATTTCCTTTTTTGTAGACACTTAAATTTTCTAATTTTTCTATAATAAATATATACTCTTTTGAAATAATAAGAATAATTAAATATAAGCCACAACAGCCAAAACTGGTGGCTAGATCTGTAATCCTAATTACTCAGGAGACTGAGGCAAGAGGTTAGCCTACACATTCAGGGAAATCCTACTCAAAATTAAAAAAAAATAATTAAAAGAGAGTATAAGTGTTGTTTTCAAGTAAACCTCAATTGTTTGATTTTATCAATAAGAATTTGGTAAATATTTGGGAGCCAGATGCTAGGGTGAAAGCCTGCTAGCTCAGAAAGGCAGAGAAAGCATTCAGCTGACCTTCTTCCTCAATGATGTCCCTGAAAAACTCCCTTTCTCCTCTGCCATTTCAAACAGAAAACCCCAAACTCAATATCCCTCCCATCTACTTGCTGTGCATTTCTCTACCCATCCTCCTGACTCCCTCTTACTCTCTATGGTATTTTCTTGTTCACTTCTTGTTAACTGGTTGCTTGCTCTGCCTCTTGACCTATGGTTGACTTTATTTAACACTGTTTACAATATTTAATCAGAAAGCTCTGGGATTAAAAGTGTATGCTAGGGCTGAGCCACACCACAACTAGAAACAGTTTTTTTCAGTGAGTAATGCAATCTCACAGATGTTCATAGTGTGATCAAATACCTAGCAACATGTAAGGGCTAGAGATATAGCTCATTGATAGAGCACTCACCTAGCATGTGCATGGCCCTCAGAACAAAACAAAATCTGATGAAAATTCTTAGAGAATAAAAATAAGGTTACATTCATCATGTCATATATTTTATTTCACACATCTATATCAGTCATATATTGTAGAATATTATTTTAAAATGTATTACATTTGTTTATGCTGTGGAACATTTGTTTAATGATGCAAAGATGTGTTGCATTCTTTTATGTTGCATTTGCTTAACTCTGTGAAGCTGTGTTACTTTGCCTGTGTAAAATACCTGATGGTCTAATAAAGAGCTGAATGGCCAATAGTGAGGCAGGAGAAAGGATAGGTGGGGCTGGCAGGTAGAGAGAATAAATAGAAGGAGAAATCTAGGAGAAAAAGAAGAAGGAGCAAGAGAACAAAGAGAGGAGGATGCCAGGGGCCAGCCACCCAGCCACACAGCAAGCCAAGGAGTAAAAGTGAAAGTTAGATTTACAGAAGTAAGAAAAGGAAAAAGCCCAGAGGCGAAAGGTAGACAGTATAATTTAAGAAAAGGTGGCTAGCAACAAGCCAAGCTAAGCCGGTCTTTTATAATTAAGAATAAGCCTCAGTGTGGGATTTATTTGGGGACTGGGTGGCAGGTCCCCCTAAAGAGCAAAAACAACCAACTACATTCATACATTATCACAGTTTCACTTCCAATAACTTTCAAAACCAAATACTATGTATGAGTTGCAGAATGGAGTTTTTACTTCCCGTGGCCTTCATAATTTTCTTCAAAAGATTTATTTGTTCATTCTGTATATGTGTCTGTGTGTAGTTATGTATACTTAAGTGCAGGTGCCCCCCGAGGCCAGAAGAGGATCTCAGAACCCCTGGAGCTAGAGTTACAGGTGGTTATGAGTCAGCTGGCATGGGTTCTGGGAAAGGAACTTTGGTCCTCTGCTATAACAATATGCACTGTAACTATGAGGTCCTCTGTCCAATCCCACAGCCTTCATACTTTTGAAAACTATTCACAGATTACTTTTTAACTGTTTATTTTATTTCCAAGTATGTGCATGTGGAATTTGTGTGTGTTTCTCTGTGTGGGTATGTGTTCGGGAGTGAAGGGGCTTGTATAGGCCAGATATATTGTGTGCCCTAGAGCTGGAGTCACAGGTAATTGTCAACTGCCTGACGGGTGCTGGGAACTGAACTTGGGTTGTCTACAAGGGCAGTGCATACTTATAAGCACTGAGCATCTCTCTAGCCCCCTTGACAAGTTATTTTTATTGGTTTTTTAAAATTGCATGAAGTAAGGATTTTTGTTATAACTTTCCACACATACATGCCATAGGCTTTGCCCACATTCACACCCTTTGCTGCCCTTTCCTATCCCCTTCTTCCCTTCCCTCTGGCACGCCCTCTTACTTTTGTGCTCTCCCATCTCTGACTCTACACAGAGGTAAATATTAGCTACCATGCTTGTGAAACTGCTCTTACTTAACATCATGACCTCTGGTTCCACCTATTTTTCTACAAATGGTATTTCATTT